CCTGGTTGTAGCCTAGAAATCTAGACGCACCCTAGCGGCAGAAAAAATTATTTTGCAGGAAAGTGTGATCTAGCTACTCTCCGTTGGCTTTCGAAGTGGAGAAACCAAACTCTGGTCAGGCCAATCACATCGTGTATAGAGTTGGTGGGTGAGTTTAACACAATGACGGCAGAGTTGTGACGGTTCTGCGCGTGATTTCCATAGGTGATTTCCCTGCTACTTGAAAACAAACAAGATGCTGCTGGCGAACAGCGGTCTTTCGAATCGGCTTTGGCCGCGACTCTGGATGACTTGGAGTTAAGAGAACGTCACTTAAAACATTCTTAAAAAAGGAAGATGTGTTCGGAGTTTTGACGATTGGATACGGCAATTTTTAATATATCAACTTGCTCCGCTGGAGGGAAAACGCAATGGACTCACTCATCCACAGCCGTTCATTGCTCTGGTTGTTTATGGCGCTATCCTATTGCGTGCAGAGGGATATTGAAAGACAAACTTTTATCCCGCCCCTCGGATTGAGGTATGCCAATTGTGAGTTCCCAGACCTAAGATCTTGATAGGTCTGGCTTGCCAGGCTATTCTGGTTGCATATGCAACCCACCATTCCCTGAAGGAGAGAATGAAGGACGTAGTCGATGGTCGACTGAATGGGGATCGCGTCAGAGAGCCATTGTTCTTCGAGTACTATTGAACAAGCCAATGGAATTAGCATAAATACCCATAAACATGGCACTGGATGCACGCACTTGCTGCTTTTTCGCTGAGGAGCCGAGCGTAACCTGGAGTCAGTGGTGGTCCAGTGGTAGTGGCAGAGGGACCAGCATGCTCAACAGGAATTCTATCAGCTGTGTGATGGAGGAGTGAGGAGCCCACAGGGAATGGTTACCGGTAAAGACATCCATCACTATCCTCCGATCACCCATCCCACATGGCACCCGGGGGTGGCGCATGGTAATGGGGACTCACGCTTGAGAACATGAGCCATCCACAAAAGCTGCCACAGCTTACTGGACATATATATATATATATGAAGAGTTCAGATGCAAAAGCCTCTATATGCCATTTGAAATTTTCTTCTAGAATGGTCATTTTTATCAAGCTTGTATATTTAATTAATAGGTAATCTTCATTGCCATTTAAGTGAAATTACTGAACTTAAATATACAAGCTTGATAAAAATGATCATTTTAGAAGAAAATTTCAAATGGCACTTAGAGGCTTTTGCATCTGAACTCTTCATATATATATATATATATATATATATATATATAAATATATGTACACACACATAAATATATAGCTCAAACACGTGATTGTGACTGTCAGAGAGGAAAAGGGAACAACTGCATCCAAAAACGCACAGGTGGAATGACATCTTGAAAAAGACACAAACGCACACGTGTTTCTCTTTCGGGAAACAGGACCCATCGCCAGTGCCAGAGCAAACAGGGTAATGACCGTGGCAACACTGAACAGTGAACTGAAACAGTAAAGCACTCACTTTTCTGCCCTCTAACCAGCCGTCAACACATACAAACCCTTAGAAATGTGTTGCTGTTAAAGGGATACTCCACTTTTTTGGGAAATATGCTCATTTTACAACTCCCCTAGAGTTAAACTGTTGAGTTTTACCTTTTTTGAATCCATTCAGCCGATCTCCGGTTCTGGCGGTAGCACTTTTAGCATAGCTTAGCATACATCATTGAAGTGCACAAGACCATTAGCATTTCTGCCAAAAAAATTACCAAAGTGTTTTGATATTTTTCCTATTTAAAACTTGACTCTTCTATAGTTACATCGTGCACTAAGACAGACGGAAAATGTAAAGTTGTGATTTTCTAGGCTGATATGACTAGGAACTATACTCTCATTCCTGCATAATAATCAGGAAACTTCACTGTCGTACCATGAGTGTTATGTGTTAAATGTTATGACGCAGCGCCTGAAAATAGTCCCCAGCTTCTAACATGACCGGGACTAAGTTTGTGTAGTCATCGCGCCTGCTGCATTCATGGTACGGCAGTAAAGTGTCTTGATTATTACACAGGAATGAGAGTTGACAGTGTAATTATGAACACAGGTCTTATGTAAAAAGCAGTCCACAGACTAACTAGACACAGGTGTAATAATGACGGAACAATGAGAGGAACAGGAAAAAGCACAAAAAAACTAAAAGTTCACATGACAAAATAAAAGCACAGAACAGGCAATACATAAATAGTAACCTAGAAGTGCCTTATCAGTGTACATCTGCTCTCTGTACAAAAACAGTTGCTGTTTTAAACCTATGCAGTGTTTTATTTCAGAGCTATTTCAGCAGTTTACTCTATTTGGACCTTTGCATTCCAGACTTTTGGAAATCTCATGTACATTTTTTTCTATTAGAAAATTGTTAAATATTATTAAGCGATAACAGGAGACAATGGCTGTGTTCGGAACCGCCCCATACTCTAAAATAGAGCACTATTCGAGGAGACAGCATTGGTGTCCGAAACCATAGTGACCTTATCAAGTGCACTTATTTCCACAATGTACTGCAATATCAAGTCTACAACCGATGCATGCTCAACACCTAAATAATACCCATAATGCACTGTGATGGTCTCGCCAAATGATTCCAATGACTTGCCAGAAGATGGCGCTCACAGCTGAATAATCCAAACATCCATTTTCCAAACTGTCCAATGTGGATACAGTGTAATATCATTCAGGTATACATTTCCTTTTTACCTGATTATTAAACTGTTTAGTTATGTTTTATACAAGCTAGTTTCCTTGACAGATTTTAAGACAGATCTTTTTATTTTACTACTGCAGTTTCCATGTTTCAAATGATTATTAAACAGCAAAACAAACTATGCAAAAGCAGCAGCCATTCTAGTGCAGTCAGTGTCCAAATTCACTCACTCAGATTGATTCACTCTTTCAAGTGGAATATATTAGTGGAGTAATGTAGAGGAACAGTGAATGAAAACAGCTTATGTTCTCAAAGTTGCTGTTATCAAGGAGATCTTTGGGAATGTTATTTTCAAAATAAGTCAGAAGTCTGTTGCAGAATTTTGACAAGCATTTTTGATTCACTCAGGAAAAGGTGTGTGCCAAATAATCTGACAGTTGGATCATTTTATTTAGTTTCACAATGAATGTTTATAAACAAATGCAA